CAAATACAAATACAAATAAAAATACAAATACTTTGTCACCGCTAAGGCGAAGCGCCCATCAACGTGAGTGATGTTGAGTTGGTCAAGCCCACCCAGTCACATGACCACCAAGCCCCACCTACCTTGCTGGTCATTAGGGCAGAGAACCGGTTGTTAAATTATTTGAATCCCACCACTGGAATAACCTCACATGCCACTTATGACAGGCTCTTGAGACTTAAAATTCTATCCTCCAGAAGCCTTTGGTATTACTTACTAGACTCCAGATAAAGATAGCGAACTGGAGAAGTACACACTTAAAGTTGCTTAGTGAATTCAATGCAGTGATTAAATTTGAACTGGGGACTTTCTGACAGTCAGTTCTGACTGACATTAATAGACCTAAATCATTCCTCCTCTGGGACATTGTCTGTAGCTAAAACTATTGATGCCTAGAAACCAGAATTGGCTTTAGCCAATGTTTTTCAAATTATTTAATTGACTAATTTATGACGTTAATCCATTTGCTGCATTAATCTAACTGAGTCTATCTTGATGTGCAAATGTAATCTCGAAGACCTTAACTGTATTGCAACTCAGTACTTTTCCTTATTTTGAGGAACTCAGTACTTTTCCTTATTTTGAGGTTGCTCATTGTTTAAGAGATGCTTTGTAATGTCAAGGGATGACCACAGATAAAATGTTCCTGCAGACTCTCACACCATGTTTTAATAGAAGAATAGTCCAGCCATTCATTAAATGCCGGGCATCAAAAGGGTGGGTACAATTGTGTGAACCAGCCCTTAACAAATTGTGTCAATAGCCTCCACCGAAAAATAAATTGTGTTTTGATGCTTAGTGATTCTGACAATGCCAGCGAAGCAGCAGTATTTCTTTCAGATAAATTTATGAAAATATGACACTGTAAGATTAATGATGTAAGAGTGGTTATGAAATTTTTTTAAAAAACTTTAAAAAAATATATTTTTATTAAAATATACGGTCATGGACCAAACTCCCTCTTTCAGATACACAGTTATATTCACATAATGCACCACAAAAATGTATGAGGTATGTCCACACAGCATATTGATTAGTGTTAGTCTGCTTGATAATTTTATAGTTCACTGTACCATATGAACCTAGAAAATAAATTAACTCAGGAACCAGGCACAGAGTGTTGTATGGTCAGCTGGTGGTTGAGATATTGTACCACACAGCAGACTAAGCTAAAACAAGCTTGGGACCATTGCAGTGGTGGGCTTCAAAAATTGTTCAAACCTACTCTGTGGGTGTGGCCTCCTTTGTGGGAGTGGCTTGNGCCCCCTAGAGTCGGGAACGACTAGCACATATGTGCAAGGGGAATCTTTACCTTTACCTATTTTGTTTTAAAGCTTTCTCAAACTACTAGCTCTCTTCATCTCTTACAACTGTGCATTACATGCATTTCTTACCAGAGTTCTTAGGAGGGCGAATAATATACCCTGAAGGCAGAGGTGAGTGAGAAATAGTCAGAATCTGTTATATCTGTAGATTATAGTTATATCTTCTGAAAACATGTAATAGATATGCTGCAAATTCCTAGATTCAAAATATGCTCAAAGATATTGTGTTCTGCAATGCTAAGTATTGTAAATGCCTTTTTGGGATCTGTCTGGCAGGTTTTAAATCCTGCTAAAGAACCAAGCAGACCCCTTAATTCCAATGTTTTCCCACCCCAGATTCAATACATTTTTGGAGAAAAATGAATGGAATAATTTTGGAGAGGTTGGTGCTATTAAAGTTTAAGACAGTGTTTTTCAATCTTGGCAACTTTAAGAGGTGTGGACTTCAATTCCCAAAATTCTCAGCCAGTACCTCTTAAAGTTGCTAAGGCTGAGAAATACTGGGGTACAGGAACCTCCATGTTCAAAAGCAGTGTACTTCTGACTAGAACACTATTTCTGAACCTTGGCAACTTTAAACTGGGTGGACATCAATTCCCAGAATTCCCCAACCATCATGCTGGCTGACACAGTATAAAGTTGCCAAGGTTGAGAAACACTACAGAAGAATAATGTAGAAAGGCTTTTCCAGTCTATTAAGAGTAGACCACATCCCAGTGCTCTTTAAAAAAAATGTGGCTAAGAAGATATACAGTAGGCAAAAAAATAGATAAGGTGACATCACCAAAACTGAGGCATGGAAACATTTTGGTTAATGTGGTAAGATTAGTAGATTGAAGATTGTGATTTATTAATCTTAAAAGCTTGCATACTTTTTTTTCTCTGTTCCACCCCAATCTAGTGGTGAATCAAGCTTTTAAGATTAGTAAATCAAAGTCTTCAATCTGCTAATCTCACCACTTTAAGCAAAAAAAAAAAAACCTAGTTCCTGATAATTGTAGTTCTCAGCTACAGTATTTGCTATTTAGCTATTTGCTAAAAGAATGTGGTAGTGCAATTTCAAAGGGTTGCAAAAACTGGGGGTCAACACCCCACCCCAAGCTGCAGATTGTCCCTGCCTGCTTTTATATGCTTGTTAGCTTCCACAGTTCATCCGGATGTAGAATTTACACCTCCCTTTCCCTACAACCTCCTCTTCCCTCTAGGGTTAGAATTACTAAGTATACAGTATTTAGAATTGGCCTGTCTCTTAAAGGGACATGTCTTCTCGGCTTTTATTTTGTAGGCAACTGGAATTATTTTGGCTGGGGAGATCAACAAAGTAAGTATGCGATTCTGATCCTGTACCCTCCCACTTCACTCTGTGGCATTCTTAAATATTTTCCTATTACTTCTACTACTCCAGAGGGAGGAGGTATGAGTCAAATCTAACATGGCCCACCTTTTCATCTGGAGGTCAAGAGATGAAGCAGGTATTTTCAGGTAGCAAGCAGGAGCAATAATGATAACAATTATTTTATATAGTTAGCAGATATTCAAATTACAATATATACCTTTAAAGCTAGATAACCCAGTGGTGGGATTCAGCCAGTTCGCACCTATTCGGTAGAACCGGTTCATCAAATCTACCNAATAGCAATAGCAATAGCAATAGCAGTTAGACTTATATACCGCTTCATAGGGCTTTCAGCCCTCTCTAAGCGGTTTACAGAGTCAGCATATTGCCCCCAACAACAATCCCGGTCCTCTTTCATGCTAAAGGTTTCCTGAAATACCACCGCTTGTGTATCACCTCTGATGGTGGGCAACAACAGGAGAAAAAATATCAATCTCTGCCAGTGATTAAGTCCGAATGGTTGCAGATCAGTTTTTTTTAATGCATCAGTGAAATAATCCATTTAAAAGAGACTGAACTCTAAGCACTCTATTTTTTGTCTAACTGTAATGCAAAACAATAAATTGCCACATGGTATGCTTGAAGAATGTGGGGGATCTGGCTCACCCAGAGTGGAACTGTTGTTGCAATGCAAAGCACACCTGTTTTCACAGCTAGCCAGAATGAAATAGAGGCAGTAGCATGGCTCGGTCAGTCTTAGCATTTTTATCACTCTGGCTGTTTCCAAGCTCATTTTCCAGCTGTCACCAGTTGTCAGTGGCCATGGACTCCAACAAAAAAAATACTTATAAAATGGCACATTGAGTATGGCAGGTGAAAGCTGCTGAGATGTGACCATAAAGGATAAATTAAAGCAGTGGCACACGCAGCATAATGCTTGTCCAGGTTCAATATGAAAATTCACTTCAGGGGATATAATATCAAGCATAAAGGGTAGCATTTTGTTGTTGTTAAATGTGTACATTTAAGGTGATTTTTTTTCCCTTGGAGCTCAAGGCAGATATCTGAGGATCTTCCTTGATTTTATTCCCCAACCACAGATTGTTGATTGCCCAAAATTCACCGGTAAATTTCCATGTCTCTGCTTAAACCAATCCTTTAAACTCCTCTGAAGATGTTACCTATCCTGGTAATAAAACATTTGAAAATCAACCCACAGGCTCAGAGAATGATCCTTCACCCTTAAACTTATCTACTCCCTAATTCAGCGACTTTCATATACAGTGCATAGATGCCTTAAAAATGTACTTTTTTTAAAAAAAAAAGCATTTTCTAATTTATACACTTTTGTACAGTCTAATCTCGTGCTGTCTTTCTTTTTTTCTCAATGATGAGAACAAAAGCATTCTTCATCTCTTTAAGTCATACTGACCCATGAGTTTCCATCTCAAGGTTAGAACATTTCATTTTTAATTCTGAAACCCAGCAAGATCGTTACAGATCCTTCATCCCAACGGTTCAGAAACCATGCAGCATTATTGTAGACAATAATTAATAGACTTTGAACTGTTAAAAGCTCTTGGGAGGGAAGAGAGCAGTTCTCGGATGCTGTAGGGGAGAAAAACAAAAGAATAATGATTGTTGCATGATTATCCCAAAAGGCTCATTTTTGAACATTAACCTCACTATCAGAATCAAGTGACAACAGGTAGGAAGCAATAAATTGCTGCTACATTATATACCATCAATTGGGATCTTGTGAATATTACCTGTTCTAAAATTCTTAATGTTACATTGCCGTTTAAGGCTACTTAGATTTTATAATTCAACAGAGAACCATACCCCTAAGAGGCCTACTTCTGAAAAGACATATACAATGATCTGTCCTGGCATTCAGTTTACATTTCAACAGAATTAGCACCATATTTTTTTTTAAATTCACCTTTCAATCTGGTCATTTAACAGAAACAGTAAATAGAGATACTACTTAGACCTATATACCACTTCAAAGTGCTCTCTAAGGGACTTACAGATATCAGCATGTTGCCCCCAACAATCTGGATCCTCATTTTGCTGGCCTCAGAAGGATAGAAGGCTGAGTCAAACTTGAGCCAGTCAGGTTTGAACTCCTGGCAGTGGACAGAGTTAGCCTGCAGTAATGCATTCTAACCACTGCACCATCCTAAATGTTAGCAATTGAGTCTGCTTAATTGATTATTTGTAATCAAGAGCTGAGGTGGTGCAGTGGTTAGAGTGCAGTACTGCAGCCACTTCAGCTGACTGCTAGCTGCAGTTCAGCGGTTCAAATCCCACCGGCTCAGGGTTGACTCAGCCTTCCATCCTTCNGCATACAAATAAACTAAATCTTAATCTTAATCTTAACTGCTATTGCTATTGCTATTGCATATGTGTCAATGTTAATATTTTGCAAATTTATTTTAAATAGAATTCAATAGAAGAGTAAAAATGCCTCATATGTAAACATAACAACACCGAAATAAAAGCACACCTTTAAGCCTGTACCTACAACAGAACTGGAAATTAATCTGATAGTTGTTACATTAAGCTCCTATGGATATTTAGATATATTTTTTTTAGCAGTAAACAACTTTAAATTAGATTGAGCAAACAGCAAAGCATAAATTAATGTCTTTTACTTTCCAATATATGTGGAAAGTTAAAGTTTTATTTTACACAGATAGAATAAAAGGGAAAAAAACATTACCCTCCAAAAAAATACCAAAAACCTTTCCAGCATCAGACCAGGTTAAAAAATAAATAATTAACTTTAAGAATTGTGTACAGTTGATACGATTATATCAACATGTGTATGGCCCTTCCTTCTTTTTTTTGTTTGATGAGAAATTATAATTTCCATTGGGAAACATTGGAACAATTTAGGAATGGACCCTGTTTTCATAATCTCTAGGCAGCCCTTCAGCTTCCAATTTTGAAAGTATCTGGTTTGCTCATCTGTTTTTACTTGGCCTTTAAAAAAAAGGGTATTAAATTGGATGAGCTAGATCTTCTGCCAGTGAAGTGATTCCATCATCAAAAACGGGAGGTTTTCCATTAGAGGAACAGGGCCAGGAGTGAGCATCATTTATCCTCTTTCTCCCTGTACGCCTCTCTTTTCAAGTGGGTTTTATGAGACACTGGAGATGCAGAAGTGGAAGGATTAACTCATCGCTTTCACATTATTTTTTTCCCCTTTTAAGATTAAAATCAAAGAGTGGGGGGTGGAAGAGATGTGTGCACTTGACCAGTACTTTTTTTCTCCCAGTCATATGATGAGGTAACCACTTTGAATGCACTGGGTCCATGGGATCATTGAAGGATGTTGTGTTCAGGGTTCAAAGGAGAATTTGTTATACATGCCTGTCTGTTGTGGTCCAGCAGGAGCCGTTGGAGCTGCCACCAGACTCCGACAGCGAGGGGCCCTAGGAGTCGGCTCTGGAGGATGTGGAGGACCCTGGACAGGGTTCCG